GGGGCAAAAAATAGGCACTTTGCCTGCTGTCAGACAGGTTTGAGGCTTCACTCAGCACCAGCTCACCTGAGTGGCGAGGCAGGCAGGGGGAGAGGCGCCTTTTAAGACAGTGCTTCGCTAGACAAAAGCCACATGGGAGGTGGTGGCTACCCCAGGAGGAGGGCGGCTTTGCTGGTGGGATGAATGCCAAGCAGGCTTCCTGGAGGAGGTGACCCTCGGCAGAGCCCTCAGCCAGGTGGTCACCAAATCTCGACTATGACCCACCAATCAGGTCCTGTCCTTGTACTTCCTACATGCTCCCTGCTAATTCTCTCCCCGGGGCCCACGGCATAAGCACCACCACCCCATTTTATAGATGAGGAAGTTCAATCAAGAGGTCAAGTCGTTTATCCAAGGTCAAAGGTACAGCCAGGTTTTGAGTCCAGGTCTGTTTGATTCATAATCCCAGGTTCTGTCTGCTAATCTCATGAGGGAAATTGGGGGTGTCCCAGGAAGAGGCAGTGTTGTGCATATATACACACCTGTATTTACTAGGCATTTGGGGGGTCAACAGACTGTCTTAAGTGTGCAGCCCCCCTGAGCTTGGCTACTCGGGACAGTATAGTTCACAGCTGGGACCCTTTCCCGGGACAGATCATTGCAGACCCTGCCTCCAGCAGAGTGGAATATCCTTTATGGACCAGATTCATCTGCACATCGTGCTTTACGGTGAGGCTCTCACCTATGAGGTCACATGGGTCCTGAAGCTCGGAGCCCGTGTCTCAACTGGACCAAGACATCAGTCTGCAGTCTTGCAGCCCCTGGGGATGGACTAGCACATACTGGTGAAGGGGGAGATCCTGCTCTTGGGAAGGGAGGGGACTGTCCTGGGCTTCTCAAGGATGACCGCCGGTCTGTCAACTTTGGCTGGGGACAGGTGAATTACCAAAGTGGTAGAATGTATACGACAGCATCAGTTGCTGGGCCTGCAGAAGGTTCCAGAACCTGCAGACCTCATGTGAGCTCATAGCTTTATCCACCATCACCACCACCACCTCTGCTTCAGTCATAACAGTTGGTTAGCATGCATCATTTCTTACTTATTACTCATCTGAGGGAATCAAGCTGAAGTCCCCACTGGGCCACCTTTGCCCATCTTGGACCATTTCCACTCTCTCCCCTTGACTATGGGCCCTCTCTCCTGCCACAGGCTTCTGCATGTACTGCAGCCGCCCCATAGCGCTGGGGTTAGGACTGATGGTCCTTAACCCCATGTTCCCGTGCTTGCCAGAGTAGCTCTGTTACTAGGCCAGGAGAGCACTGGCTTCTGGACCAGACAGACACCGGACCTCTGGGGGGGGGGGGGTCCCCTGGGGCTGGTGCACAAGGCTTTGGACTCTGACAGCCTGGGTCTTGCTCCTTCTTGGTGATCTCAGCCGAATGATGTCATTTCTGAGTCTCGGTTCCTTCATCTGTAAAATGGGGATGAACCTCGCTGCCTTGCAGGGTTCTCGCGAGTTCCATGCCCTTGCTCCATGACAAGACTTTGTTATCTGGGCCCAGGAGGTTTTGCTGTCACTCCTAGGATGGCAGCTGCGCACATGCCCTTCATCTGCCCCCACCGAGGTCCAGCTGTGGGCCACAGGGCAGCTCTGTCCTTGCCAACAGCGAACTCTCCCGTTTCTCAGCCTGTGTTCCCTGCCCCCATCGATTTCTACCACCTGACCTGAGGGCAGGCTTTCAGGAGATCAGAGGCCACTGCCCGGGCTGATGACACCCTGGAAGCACAAAATCTATCTCATCAGAGGCTTTGCAGATCAGCAAAGGGCAAACAAGTGACCTGGAGGCATCAGTTCCTGAAAAGGGCTTACCTAAGCTGCAGGGCAAATAGACTCTGGCCTGGCCCCCCAGACCTGTGGGACCTGCTTCCTCCCCTGCGGGGCTCAGGGTGGCAGTCAGGTCTCACCTTCTCTCTGAACACAGGCGGCTGACATCACCGTCTTACAAGTTCACTGTCCAACCTACAGCCTAGTGTCTAGAGGCAGGTGCCCTCCAGCTACCCCCTCCTCTAGGAATGTCCCAGCATCGGGATTCTCCCCCAGGGGCCAAGGGCAGAGCCTGGGCAGCCCTGGTGAGACTGGGCAGGTGGGTGCATCCAGGAGCAGGTGTGGGTGCCACAGACCCGCCCCCAGGCCTGGGCTCTGCAACTGGCCTCTTGACCTGGTGCTGCAAGTGGCCTCTCTGTGCCTCGGTCTCCCGATCGTCATGGGGTACAATAGTGATGACGTCTCCGAACATCTTCACGATTAGGAAACGTGATTAGAAATGCTGAAACAGATGCATGAGCCCCAAATAGATGGAAGCCACGAACTAAGACACATGTACCCCCAAATGCTCCTCGTATTTATTAAAGCTCCAGAGGGACCCAGGTGGTCAGACATACCATCAAGAGCATTAATTTGTCGCCAAAACTATAGATTCCTGCTCAGTCCTGTGCAGGAAGCTGTCTCTGGTCCAGGTAAGGAGAGAGGGAGGGAGAGACTTCCAGGAGCTGGGGGGGGGGAGGGTGTTTTTTGTGATAGTTTCTCCTATGCTGGGCATGTGACAGGTTCTTCATGGCAAAGAGAAACCCATGCCCCCACCCTGGAGGGGAGCAGCACCCTTGGAGCTGTTTCATGGATTCCCCCAGGAGTTCTGAGCATCCTTCTCCTGTCTACCTGGACGGGGCAGGGTGGGGCGGGGATGGCTGGCTGAAAGGCTATGTTCAAAACTTTGGACACATGCACGAAAAACAAATTTTCCCTCCTAAAACCTTGAGCGCCCCAAGCATCCAAGAATCTAATTTCTCCATGTCTGCTAGGTCTCCACACGACTCCGTTGACCCCTATACAAGCCTCCCTTGTCCTCATTCGAGACGATTTTTACCAGGTCTTTCCAATCGCCTGGATGCACTGGGCTTACGGCAAACCATCCCAGTGTATCTGGGAAGAGAAGCCACCCCCCTCCCCTTCCCCCTGCATTTGGACTCTTGGCTCTTCACAGCCCAGGATCTGGAGTATGTCAGATGACATCTTTGAACCTGGATGTCCTCGTGAGGACACGGGGTCTGTACTTCCCTCACTGCTATAGCCCGACACCCAGCCCAGTACCGGGCTCGTAGGGGCGTGAGTGGCACACACTGTTGCCTGCCCAACCTGTGTCTTAGCCGCGATATAACTAATGTACTAATGTACGGATCACCCTGAGAACGGAATGTAATACAAATACTGGTTATTGCTAGGATGTGCAATAAAAGTTGGGCTTGCCGGCGTGTGAGTGGGAAGGCTATGTGGGTGCCTGCAGGGGAGGGCAAAGTTCACCACGGGTAGGGGCCAATCCACGGGGGGGAGGGGGGGTTAAGAGACACGAGTGAAAGGGTCAGGTACGGCCTGCGCTCCAGAGTCGCTGCGCAACCCGGGGATTTGTTTGGAGCTGGGTTTCCTGCCCGGAGCAGGTCCTCCTGGGCGCTGGCCGCTACAAATAGAACAGTGGCAGGAGCGGCGGGAGGGCAGGGAGGAAGGCTGGCATAGCACACATTTCGTTCCGAGGGAGGGAGGGGTGTCCTGATGGGTTGGCACCGGGGGCTTTGTGCATTCCGGGCGCCGTCGCGCAAACAGAGCAGCTTTGCAGCTCTCTCCCCTGCTCCTTGCCATTGGCTGCCCGGCCGCGACCTCCCCCTGCGCTGGCAGAGGCCCAGCGCCTCGGCTGGGCACAAAGTCAGCCCCTCGCCCCTGACGCACGGCGGGAGGGGGCTCGGCTCTCGGGCGGCCCGGGGGTGGGCGTGCGTGTGGGTGCGGGGCGGGTGGTCGGAGTTGGCATCGGTCCCGACCCTGTCCCCGCTGCCCTTCACCCTCTGGGTCCCCGCCGGGCACCTCGGCCGCCTGTCCACGCGTCCTCTCAGCGCGCGTCCTCTTTCTCCTTCTTTCGCATCCTGGGCTCCGTGGGGGGGTCTTCCCCGCGTGCCCCCGCTTCGCCCCCCCGCGCCCCGAGGGCCCCGCTGGTCCCCAGCCGGCCGGGCAGGGCTCCGGGGGAGGAGGGGCCTCGCCGGCGCGGCCTGGGGGCCGGGCGGGAACCCCCAGGCTCCCGCGGCCTCGGGGCTGCACGCGCCGTCCCGCCAGCCCCGCGCCTCCGAGCCCCTCCGCGTCCCCGGCCTCAGTTTCCCCACCGTCGCGGCCGCCCGCCCGCACGGGGGGGGCCTGGGACACGCGGCCCCGCCCCCGGCCCCGCCGCCAGCCAACCGGGCGCCGCCGCCAGGGGGGTGTGTCCCCCGGGGCTCCCGGGGGCGCGGGGCGGGCGGGCGGGGCTTCCGGCGGCCACCGAGCTAGCTGCCCGCGCGGCGCGGCCGGGGCGGGGGCGGGCCGGGGGCGGGGGGCCGGGGGCGGCGCGTGCCGCGGGGGGCGCGGCTGGCACGGGCCGGGAGGCGGCGCCGGGCATGGGCCGGGGACGCGGCGGCCCCGCGGCGGGGGCGGGGGCGGGGGCGGGGGCGGGGGCGGCGGCAGCTCGCGCCCAGCCCGGCGCCGCCTCCCTCGCGCGCTCGCCGGGCGGACCGCAGGCGGCGGAGCGGCCCCAGGTGCCCGGGGCGGGGGGCGGGGGGCGGGCGCGCGCGGGGGTCCGCGAGCCGGGCCTCGGGTTCTCGGGACGCCGGGCGCGGCGGCGGGAGGGGCCGGGCCGGGCGGCGCATGCGCGGGGCCCGGGGCCCGGGGCGCGGGGTCCGGCGCGGGGGTCCCCGGGGGCCGCCCCCCACTCGGCCGCCCCGCGAGCGCCCGGGACCTCGGGGACGCCGGGCGCACAGGGAAGGCCCCCGCGCGGGGTCCTGGGGCGCGCCCTCCCCCCGGCGCGGTCGGCTTGGGGCGTCCCCGCCCGGGGTCCCCGCGGCCGGGTCGCCGAGGCCGGGACAGACGGACCCCGGGCCGCGGCCGCACGGGAGCAGCTCGGAGGCGCGCCCCCACCCCCCCCACACCCCCCCCGGCCGGCCCAGGGCCCCGGCCGCGCTCGCCCCAGCCCTGCCCTGCGGCCCCCGCGCGCCGCCCGCGCCCAGGTCTCCCGGGGGCGCTCCGGAGGCGGCGGCTGCCCTCACGCCCGCCCCCGACGGACCGGGGCGCCCGGCTGCAGGCCCTTGCCTTCCTCGCCTCCCCGAGTTAAAGTTGGGAGGGCGCGCCCCGAATGTCCGCGTCCGAGTCTTTCTAAGAAAAGTCCGTGGCTGCGTAATGCGCGGACTTTGGGGGCGCCCTGGGTCCTTGCGGGGCTGCGGGGCCGCGGGGGAGAGGGCGCGCGGGGCGGGGCGGGGCGGGGGGGCGGGGGGAGCCGCCGGGAGGGGGGCGCAGGGTTTCCCATTGCCGCTCAAGTAGGGTCACCGTGACTTTCCTCTTCCAAGGTGGTGGAGAGTTGGGGAGAATCCAGAGGACATATCGTAACCGTTTCCTCCTTTACCTCCGAACTGCCAAGGCTGCAGGGAAGGGACGGGCCCTGCCTCGGCCTGGGCTCCCGGTGAAGCGAGCTCAGAGGTTGCCGGGGCCGCCACAGGTAAGTACAAGGCTTGATCCGTTGTGATTCCAGACCCCAATGCTTAAGCGCTTCCTTCTGGGGCCCTGCGAACTGGATGTGTGGGGATTGGTTATTACTTTGCGGTGCAAAGTTACGTCTATTTCCAGGGCCTTGGAAGGCCGGTGAAGGTGGGTGCTGCTAAGTGGTAGGTTCTCGTCTCCGTTTCACCAAGAGTTTCATTCCTGTGTAGCCAGTCAGTTCCACCTCCTGGAAACCTGTTCTTTGACAGACACCAAAGTTACAGGTGGTGGCAGGGGCCGAGCAGCACGGAAGCTTTTCATGCTGACTTGAGTATCAAGCAGGTAGCTTGCTGGTGTAGTAGGTCAGGTCCGGAACTGTCATCATGCAGGGCAGGGACAGGCCCCGAGAAGCAGCCAGATGGGAGACGTCACTGTCCTCCAGGGGCCAGACCGGCTGATGGGACACACTTCTGTTCAACTTTGAAGCAAAAACGGATTAATGGGCCGTGGAGAAAATGGTTTTCTCTCTTTTCTCAGATCTTAGACATATCACGAGAGACATCCCATAATCACGAAATAGTTTTTACTAGCTCCTGTCTATCAGACTTGCGAACAGATTTTTAAACATTGTGCATGCGAGAAAGAGAGAGGAGAAGGAAAGCCGTGTTTTTTCCATAGAAACCATTTTGTAATCTGCTTCTGCTTCATTGACTGTTGGGTAATGAAAAATCTTGCCATGTGAAATAAATGTGTTTGTGCTTCATCATCTTAAATGTCTATGTAATATCCCATTGTGTTTGGGTAGAGTCATTATTTAGCTAATCCCTTAGTGCGTTTGTGTGTTTATACATATAATTGTGAGTGATATATGTTCATTCATTCTGCAGCTATTTATCAAGTAGCTGCTGTGGGCTGAGGTGCTCAGTATGGAGCAGGACAACCATGGATCTGCTTGTGAAGCTGATTTTGTACCAGGATACAAAAAAAAAAAAAAGATTGTCCTCCTCATCCCAAAAGATGAAACTGGAGTATAGAGAGGGAAACTATTTTTGCCAAAACATCTTGCTATTTAGTGTTTGATAACTAGCACTTTTTTTCTTGTATGCTGTATCTCTGTTTCCTTAAGAAACCTTTAAAAAATTAAATGTTTCTCAGCTTAGTGTAAACGGGTTTTAAGCACCCCCTCTTCTCTTTTCTCTTTTGCCTCTCCCACAGTCTCTGCGTGTAAATAAAATATTCTTAAAGGAGAAAAGCGTGAGTGTCTCAACTTCCAAGTGGCTGGTGCTACTGTTGAACATTTGTACTAACTTTGTTGCAGTGCTGTGGGAGGGGATGTGGCCTGTGTAATTTCTGCTGTTTTGTGAATGTGAGGACCTCTGTTTCTCTTTCTGGTTTTGGTGGGCTGGATATTGAGTTAGTCTTCCCTGTGTTTCATAGACATCCTAAAGAAAGGCATAGTTTCTGTGTGCAGCATAGACATTTGCAGTACCTGTTCCTTCCGCCTTGTTAGTGACATGGAACAAGCGAGTTCACCTCCAAGGCCAGGTCATGTGGTTAGGGAGAATGAGGTGGTGAACTTTTTTTTTTTTTAAGGTTTTATTTATTTATTCATGAGAGACAGAGAGAGAGAGGCAGAGGCACAGGCAGAGGGAGAAGCAGGCTCCCTGTGGGGAACCCGATGTGGGACTCGATCCCGGGACCCCAGGATCACGACCTGAGCCGAAGGCAGATGTGCAACCACTGAGCCATCCAGGTGCCCCAGCTGGTGAACTCTAATTGCCATCTTGGTGTTAAGATCATTTTAAAGTAAGAACCAAACAGGAGAGGCCCTAGAAGTCCCAGGGGACCATATTTGAAAGACCTTGTTTCTTCCAAGGATTCCTAACGCTGACGTGCCATGAGCTTCTTATGGAGAGGAACACACGCATGTGATTTTTCCAACCGGTTCTGTGGATAATCAATCATATGTGACCCAGTCTGATGGTTGTCGTTATCAGGAGGTGTGCTTGTTCTTTGCCTCGGAGTATTTAATTAGGTAGCATCTTGTAGTTGTGATATTATGGTGCCTGGAAGAGTTTCTGCACTCCAGAAAGTGAAGAATTTACTCCTCACTAGGTCAGCCTTGTTACAATTATTTTTGTGGTTCAGCTGCATTTGTTTTGAGGTCAGCATGTCGGAAAAGAAAACGCATTCGAACATTTCAGTTTGCATCAGGGAAGCAGCTTGATACAGTGGAAGTGCACTGGGTTGTTAACATTGAGATTTGGATTTTTGTTCCATAGCCGCTGCCTGCTGGGCCTGCGGTCTTCATACATTGCTCCAGACTGCTCTCTTCTCATCAGGGAACGGAGTTCCTTTCCGTTTCACCTTTCTGAGGGCTTGTCAAGCTCAAAAGTGGTGACTTGCATGAAGATTCTTTGTAAAATGTGAAAACCTGTGCAGAGCCCCAGAGGTGTCTTAAGAAGCCACACCCTGGCCTGTGCTTCTCAGTGAGCCGCAGAGCTGATCCCTATAATATTTTTGCCCTGGCCATTTTATGAATCTTCAAAGCCTCTCTGAAAGAAACATCCTCCCCCCATACATCCAGCTTTTTGTCTCCTGTTTTTGAAAGCATAAACATCAAAACTGTCATGAGCGTTTCGTGCTTTCTCTGAACGCAGGTGTGCCCTCCGTTGTGGTGCTCATACACTGTGCGTTGGTCCTTACTCCGCTATTCCTGGATCACCGGAAGGACTGTTTCTCATCCTTGGAGGGTGAAGTCCTCCTGGACTTGGGCATGACTTTGCTGGGCAGCTCCTAGGTGCTGCCCTCCATCACAGCTTCTTGTCTGCCTTTCCCCGACAGAGTCTGACTCGCTGAGAGCAGAGTGTGTCTCGTCCACGGCTGCCCCACTGGTCTCATATCCTGAGTCCATCCTTGCAGATGTTCATTGACCAAAGTGATGAGCGGAATTCAGTTCGACAAGTGTTGATTGGTGGGCCTCTGTTTTCTACCGTCCACAAATGTGGGTGGGGGCTGGCTTAAAAGTGCAGACAGCAGGCCTGCCCACCATGCCCCCTTGGCATGTTGCGGCTTCCCTTCCACCTGGGATGGTGAGACCACCCTCGCTGTCACAATGACACAGGGGAGCTGCTGCACCCAGGCTGGACCTCTGTGGGCAGTGCCCACTGCAGCCCTATCATAAAGGCGGTAGTTGTAGTCGAAATGATTCGGACTGAGATTATCACCAGGTTTGGGGCATATTATGTATCAGATGGACTTTTTATGAGCTGGCCTGAGAATCTAATTAAATAGAATGTTATTTCTTCTGCAAGATCACGGATTCAGATTCCAAACAACTGGCTCATTAGGAAAGGGGTATCTTTACACCAGTGTGAGTTTAGGAGCATTTATCTCTGATAGGGCAGGGGTCTAAGTGATACTCCAGTTGTGAGGATGAGATAGGCACAGGGGCAGTTAGAGAAAGTGGTCGCTGCACGTCTCTATGTTGCAGGAAGCTGCACCCATCTGACTGCTTCTGTTTTTTGCTCTAGTTTAAGAGATTTGTGAATAAAGAGGAGTGACAGTTTCTAGTCTGGTGTACTTGCTTTACACTTTTAGCTTAGAGACCCCAAGTAAACTTTTAGGAAAGCATTGCTTTGAATAGTCAAAGTTAGGAAAGCAAATGCAGAATGACTGCCTCAAGGATTATGAAGCTTCTATGGGTGATTCGAAATTATAAGTGAACAGTATCTTGTAGTTCCTTTTTTTTTTCTTTCCATTTTTAAGAGTGAGTGAGGCCCCAAGCTTTCTTGCAGCCATTTGTAACTGAACGAGTCTGCGGTTATGTGATAACCACACCAAGGTGACAAGTTGCCAAGCTCCAGTAAAAGGGACCCAGTTATGTAGAGGTTGACATGTGGGTGTGTCCTTTCTGAATTATTCTAAAGAAGTTAGTTGTCAGCCCAATGTGACTACTTAAATGCAGATTTACAATTAAGCAATGTGGCTTGTAAAAGACAGGATCAAACTACCATCAGATCTTCATTGTCTGCAAGCCAGATTTCTTATATTACCTCTATGTTCAATGGGATTTTTTTCTTTAAGATTTTTCTTTAAGATCTCTTCTTTAAGAGAGAGAGAGGCAGAGGGAGAAGCAGGCTCCCTGCGGGGAGCTCGATATGGGACTCGATCCAAGAACCCCAGGATCACACGCTGGACCAAAGGCAGATGCTCAACCGCTGAGCCACCCAGGTGCCCCCCAGATGGGATTTTCTTTTGCCAGGAGAATTTTTAGAAGCATCTCCAGCAACTTTCATCATCGGTCAGGTTGATGTGTGTTAGGCTGCCGACAGGCCGAGTGTTTTCCCTTGCTAGGATTTTGAAGAAATTTGACAAATTCTTCAGTCTTCTTTTGGCTCACTTTATGGGACAGCTTGATAACCGGGCCAAAGTCTTGTCCATTCGCTATGCACCCACTTTCCATTTCTGGTTTTCTCTCCATGCAACTGGGGGTGGGATTAATGCAAATGATGTTTAAAAGGAAAATTGTTCAGAGAAATTTGAAGTTCAGCTGAAACCGGATCATCTCTTGGTGCGTGGAGGTGATCTACGATGGAGGCAGATAGAGCAGCATCTGAACTACCGTGCCGCCCTCGGATGTCCGGGTCTGCGCGGGGAGGCCTCTGCTGCTGGCATGTCATGACTGCCTACCTTCTCCACTTGGAAGACGCCCCCTCCTCTGTCACTGTCACCGGGTCCAGGCAGGGGCCTTCCTCCTGGGCCTGCGGGGCTCCCCTGACGTCGCATAGCACTCAGCCCTGAGTGCACACAGGCTCAGAAACCACCTTCTTCCCTCCTTTCCTTAGAAACATGCACGTGCGGAGGGGGTTTTCTAGAAAAAGGAAGACGTTCCGTTGTTGTATTGTACTTTGTACTTGTACAAAGCGAGGAGTCCTGGGAGCGGGGGAACAGGTTTGGCCTCGCCAGGGTGCTGCCAGCGTGGGCTTCGTGGGGGACCCACACCCCGAGAAGAAGGCT